CCTCAGAATTCTGACTTTTTTCCTCAGAATTCTGACTTTTTTCTCAGAATTCTGACTTTAATCTCGAATCTTTACTGACTTCTGACGATAAAAAAAGTCAGAATTCTTACATTCAAGTCAAAATTCTGAGATAAAAGCCAGAATTCTGAGAAAAAATTCAGAATTCTGACTTTTCTCAGAATTCTGACTTTTTTTCAGAATTCTGACTTTAATTTTAGAATTTTTACTGAATTCTGACGATAAAAAAAGTCAGAATTCGGACTTTTTTCCCATACTAATCTGAAATAAAATTTTAAAATCAGTAAACTTTTTTTTTCAGTGGCCCTAATCCTCTTCCGTAGGGATGAGTATGGTGTTCTTATAGGAAATTTAAGAAAGTAAAAGACACCTCCTAATACAGCTACAGTAGGACTATCTAAGAGGGAAAACCAGAGCCTTCAGGATTACTTGAAAATCAACTAAAATTGTGGCACTGTTTCTACTAATTTATAAAATATGGTTACATTTGAATGATTCGACAGAAATGTAGCATCAATCCTTTGGCACTCTTCCTTCAAGTCCTTTCTGTGATGACTTTTAGAGTAGTTAGACATTTAGAGCCTGAGAACCTCCTTCTGCTGGGATCAGAATAATTACACTCAGCAAAAATCAATCAGGGATGTTTTAAGAAGGTCAGTAACATATCAAAGATTCTCCAACCCTGGAGTAATTTCAAACAGCGGGACTTTTGTGAGCAGACACGGATACACAGATCATATGTTTCGCTGAAATCGGTGCAACACAGAGCGAGACTGCTTTCCCTGTGGCGTGTGCTGTCTCTCGTGTGTTGTCCTTTTATCCAAGTCTGCCTCTGCGCAGAGCTCAACAGCCTACATTCAGTACAGCTGCTAATAATCTAACCTGTATTCTATGCTTCTTTCCCCCCCATTTTATATATTTTGTCATAGCGCACTGCTCTGGGAATCATGCGTGGAGAAGACACCATTACGCATCACAGTGGGCGTTTTGGCGACGCGGTGGCGCAGCCGTCGCTTGTCTCGGCACAGCAAAGTCCTACATACTGAGTCTTTCAAACTCATCGAGCTGATTCAGTTTGAAAGACTCTTAAAAGATGAACTTGAAGGATGCATTGCATTAACAACCGGGTCACTGGCATTATTTTTTTTTTCTCTTAAGGAAGAAAATGCAGCTGTTTAAGAGACTCTACCCTCCGGTGGCCTAATTTGGCATACCTAACAATTCTCTACTGTATGTTAAGCCTTTCTTCACCATGACCGATAAGGAGAAACAAATAATTCATCCATTATAAGAGGAAAATGTTAGTAATTTACGCGTAAAGATTAATTTAAAAAGCTCTATTGTTCCAGATGAAAGTAGTACATTATACGTGATTAAAAAGAAAGCTAAATGATTCACCACAAACATCGCAATTCATCACTGCAGTGGTTAAACCCACACAGCTCTGAATAATCCAACCATTCCTCGGACTGTGTCGGGACCTGGGGAAGAAATCCCGCACAAGTCGTCTGGACATTGCGTAAACACATCCACAGCTCGTTTCTGTCACCGGTCGCAGTGGGTTTCCACACTCTACCACGCGTGATGTCCACTCATTTCCACCAGTTTCCTCCAAACACAAAACTCAGCGCCTCTACTTAGAAAGCAACCGAAAACAAACAGCACAGCTCAGACCTCCTGTCAAATATTCACTCATTGCGCGTCATCTGGCTTCATCTTCTTCACACTAGAATAAAGAGCGCATTAATAAAAGAACAAATTAAGCATCAGCAACTGTCATCATATGTTAAGATTTCCTCTGAACGCAGACAAAGAGCCAGAGAAAATAAAACACAGAATAGTAACAAGAAAAAAGTCCTTACTTGTATTTTAGGATAATCCCGTTATTCTCCAAAGACAAGCGGAGATTATTTAATATCCTTGGGAAAAGCCTGGAAGTAGTTTACACGTTTTTTTTTTTTTTTTTATCCACAGCGTAGAGAGGAGCAGAATTTCTTCCCCCGTTTCTCCTTCAAAACAGATGTGAGCGGTCCTGCCCGAGTCGCTCCACCTGCATCCCTGCTGTCAAGGCGAGCCACTAGACAGGAAATGTGGCTTTGGAGTCGTTTTTCAAAGTAAAACTCCAATGTTTGAAACTCCAGGCTAGGCTTTTATTGTGTAAGGCTGCTCACCGTTCAATTTGTGTTATAGTTATCTTGATTGCCTCCACCTGATTGTGCTGGAGATGGAGGCACAGCGGCATCAGCAGCAGAGAGGAGCGCACCGAGGAGGCCGCCCACTAAGGTGCGCCCCGTTCTGGCTGCAGAGGGTGGCATCACCCGAGCCAGGGAGGGAGATGGGAGGGATGTTTTTAACCCTAGAATTAAAAATGGATAATTTGCCAATTGGAGATAAAAAAAAAATGTAACAACAACTTTATCGGTACAGCCTTTAAAATGCAAAGCCTTTCATCAGTTTAATACAATGACAAAAATTCGATTATTTAATGAATCAGGCAACTTAGGAAAATATTTCAAATATTTAAAATGGCCCATCCCACCAAAAGTAAAAGAAGTACAATATAAAATTCTGAATAGATATTACCCAACAGGAGAAAATCTTAAAAAAAAGATTTGGATTTGAAGTTGATAACTGTGTTTTTTGCCATGAAGAACTTGAAACTATGGAGCAGGGGTCTGCAACCTTTCATATCCAAAGAACCGTTTTGCCCAGAGTTCGACCAAGTAAAAGTTGTTTAGAGCCGCAAAATATAACATGACTTTTTCTAGAAAACCTTTTTTTTTT